TACAAAGCTCGATGGCACCAAAACCAAATGAATGAACCAAAATACCCCAGCCAATTCAAACGTTAGTCAAGAACAGAGACAGTAACACAGAGCTTTACCCCACTCTAAGAAAATTACACATGGCTGCTTGGTGAGACTGGGGCTTTCCAAGTTCCATGTGTTTTAAGAGAGTAGTGGATAAAGAAAGTCAGTTGGAAAAGAACCCGAGGCAGCCTTAGCCAGCACGCATCTCGATATCCTTTGCCTCTGCTGCAGTGTTATAACACCATCTCATTTGCATCTAATCAATTGACTTGGGAAGGAATTAGTATTTACGATCACATCACAACCTGCAAAGCCACTCCCTCTTCTCATGCTGGTTGACAGCACACCACACATTCAATAACCATATGGGTTCTTGTCTCAAAACACCTTTGGGCAGAACCCCATTGTAACAGCGAAGAAACTAATCAAACTCTCTTGCAGATCTTGCCTAATCCAGTTCGGGCTGTAAAAGGTAGACCAGGGATTAAACAGGTGCGTGCTTTCTTACAACAAAACAGCCATGGGAATAGTCTTCACAGCTGTAAGCAGAGCTGAAGGTGAATTGGGTTCACCAAAACGACCAAAAATGCATTTTTTCCTTCTAGGTTCAGGACTGCAGCAGGATGGGTTATTTCACATAGTGCTGGACTTTCTCAGCAGACACAAGACCTGGCATTGTGGTCTCTATCTACTTGAGTACCTTGTCTTGCTGTTCTGCGTGGCAGCACAGCCTCTGCCTGATGGGATAAACTGTGTGTAAACCACGTGGAAACTGGCTGAGACTGGTGAGTCAAGAAGTACCTGCAGAAACCAAGCTGAAGTGTTTGAGTATTCATCTATGTTTATAGTAATTAATAAAAGATCGTAAGTGTATGTTTGAGTATGTGGCTTTTATAAGGAAACCAATTTTTAAGAAAAAAAATCCTTCGTTTTGCCAGATTCTCACATGTCTATTAAAATTTTCATGGCCACGACTCAGGACACAAAAGGCAGCAAAAGGGCAGCTTTCTCTTTTGGTTTTACTGTGTCGATCTATTTGCTTTTGTCTGAAGGTGCAAAGATGGCAAAACCCTGTACAGAGGTGAAATCTTCCTTCTTATCTTCTGGAGATTTACAGTTGCAATAGAAGGAAATAATGGTCTTCAAACACCAGTGCTGGAGTTGAGGCTGCAGAATCCACAGTGGTGGGAAGAACAGTAGCTTTAATGAAGTCTGTCACTGGCATTTGGCTTGACAAGTAGCTAGAAGCCTTGAAAAATGGGTTAAGGTTAGACTGGGGCACACTACCAGATCGCTGCTTCGTTATGACCGGGACACGGCAACACTCTGTTTTGGATGAACAGCCTCGATGTTGTCACAGCAGATTATAGGATAGACTCGAACCTGCTCAGCTGAGACAGAAATCACGGGGAGGCACCCTGACCAGAGGGAGATTAGTTGTCATGCTCTGACCTCTCTGTGACTTACAGACATATCTCTACCTAAAGCCATTTCGCCCAGAGATTATCCTCTTAAATTGCTGGGGTATGTCATCCTTCCGACATATCCAACAACAATCTGCAATTCCTTATGCTTAAAATAGGGTAGCATCTTTTGGAACAGGGAAACTTCCTTGAAAGGGAAGAGCGTGCCAGCCTTGTTCTTCACGCTCAGAACGCTGAGGAAACTGCATCCCAAAACATTCTGAGAACATAGCTTTTTTTCTTCTCCCTTTTATGGGAAAGGGAAGTTTGAGACTGATGTTCTTCACTTTTTCTTAGAAGATAAAAGGTTTAGAGTCCATACAGTTCACCTGACATGACAGTGGATTACTTTTATTAATCTTTTGCTAATATGAATACTCAGCCATATATCCCTCATCTCCTTTCATATAAAAAAGCTGATGTGAAAGCTTTAAATAGCTACACTAATAACCTACACCAGTGACAAAGAAGTAAAAATGTCCAGCCCTCAGATCCTTCCATGCGTTCTTTAACTACCCACTCAAATTTCTTAAATACTGTAATTATAGAAAATTCTGAAGCCGTTTTCAATAATTCATAATTATCTAGCTACATATATTTACTTGACATAAGCACAGGAACAACCACCAAGAATTACATCTTCAAATCTCATAAACCAGTATTAATCAACGAAGCATAAGAAAATGTAAATAGTCACACATACTAATAAAGAGCATGCTTGTGTAAGTATATCTAGTCACCTAGAAAGAGCTTGAACTGATTTAGATACAATCTAAATTACCAGAAAAAAAGGAGTTATACAACCCAAATTTTCTGATTTTTCAGCTGAAAGGTAAGCAACCAACAAACTTGCCCTTCTACTCAGAAGAGTTGTAGAAGAGGCAAGTAAAAATATTGCTGGAGGCATGATGGCTCCCTATCTGTCCTTAAGAGACCTCTCTGCTCCAGCCAGGGGCAGGAGAGAGGGCTGCGATTCTAATTACAGGAAACCTCACAAAAAATTCAGAAGTCTAGAAATTCTATTAAAAAAAGCCGTTAGGAGAACTCCGATAAAGACTGGTAAGAAAATTATATTGAACAAAATATGTTACTTGAGAAAAATCCAGCTGACTTCATTCCTATATCCTCTGAATTGCTCTGGATTATGTTACAGCAGAAATCAGGACACCTTTCAACAAAACACTGCGCCACAGGAAAATACTTTTTGAAATGCTCTGTTGCCAAGTGCTTTTCATCCCTTACCATGAAGCAAAACCAAACATCTTTAGATAACTGTGAAAGGTGTTTTAAAATCTTTAAGGTCAGCTGTGCTACTAGTAAAACAAGTAGGAAAAAATTAACATGAATAATACCCATGGTTAACAACAGTGAATTGTAAAGTGTCACCAGTAAGTGACACTTTACAGAGCATCTTTGATCTCCCATATTTCCTTATTTCTGACCACCAGGTGATTTAGAAGGCATGCAGCTCCCACATAAGGTGCCTCTATCCACCAGGTTTAAGACAAGAGGATCATCTCTCACTCAAGTGTTTACAAATTTCACTGGGAACGTGTGCACCTGCAGGACCCTGACAAGGCTCTCATGGACAAAAAAACCCCATACATTACCAGGTAGAGAAGCAATCACCATTGCTCAAACACATCCTCAGTTCCTGCCCTGAGCAGCTCGGCACAGATACTACTTTATTTATCACAGTAGAATTAGAGGACATAGGAAGAGATACGTTTGTGAGTCCCTTGGCTTCTCCTGCACAGTCTGAGGCCTGGAATTTCCCTGAAGACTCCTTTGCATGACAATCTGGGAGCCTACCACTGCACACTCACCATTTACAATCATTTTTAACTTGCACAAAGGCTGATTAGAGTGAGAAAAGCTGGAGTGTTGTAGCTGGAGGTTTTACAGCATGGAAAGGAGGAGGAAGAGACCTGCCTACCATTTGGGCTGGGCATGTTGCCTGTGAAGCTAATGTAACAGAGGCTTGAAGCTCAAGTGCTAAAAGGCCATTATTGTAGGCTACAGGAGCCCCTTTTTACATTACAGTACGACTTGAAAGGACTAGCAACAAATGATGGTAAATAATCTTTACACTAGGGGCCTTGTACACCCATACTAACAGTGTCTGTTTGTAAGGTCCCCTCTGCAATTTAAAGTTCTGTTGGAGTTAAAAGCATAACTTCTTCCAACTATGAAAATACCGTCCAAAGGAACATGAGATGTTCTCTCTGTTGAAGAGCTGACAGTATTTTTTGACTGATCCTGACGTAAACTGAAGGCTGCAACATCTTTGGTTAATTTGCTTTTAAACAAGCATTTTCAGTAGCTTTAGTAAAATTTAAATAATGAATCTTTATTTGAGAAAGGATTATGGGAAATATAAATAGAGAATAATTCCTTATATCAAATTAAATTACAAGTGCTTCGTTTTTAAGCACAAACATGCAAGATGCTGAAGCCCAGATGTGCTCACACCCTAAAAAGCACTCTCTTCTCTTCTCTAGAGCTGAGTTGAATGTAAATTCAATCACTTAACCACAAACAGCGTGCAAGCCAACGGAGCAGCTCTCCTACAGAGGACTGTAATGACAGCACAGCTATGCTCCAGCCTGTGTTTGGCAACAAAGAGCACAGGAACGGAATCTGATGCCCAACATCACAACTTTAAGACACAGTCAAATGGCTATTATTTTCACTGCCAGAACTAAACTTTATTTCCATGTGTATTACATACTGGTATTTGATGCCAAGTACATTAAAATTACTTTAACAGAGGATTTAAGTGAGGAATATTTATTCTCCACTAAACAGGTTAAGAAGGAATGTAAAAACCTACAAGAAAAAACTGTTTAAAAGCTTTGTTTTGATTTTGGCAATCCAAACAGTTAAGTACTCTTCTGTTCTCTCCTCAGATCTTTCAAAGTACCAAAAAACCACTTTTTCATAATCATGCAGATCAAGAAAAAAATAGTCTTATAAAATCCATTTCTTATGCTAAATATGGTTACAAATAAGAGTATTAACACAAAACTCTCAATTCCTATTTTTAAATACAAATAATGTATTATATTATGAAATGGAGATAATTAAAATATACCAATGACTACAAATCTAGTAATTTAAAGCAAACTGAAACATGCTGTTTGCTTTCATGTGGAAGAATTAGGATATTGTATGGTTCAAGCACTGCAGTAGTTTCTGTCAACTCCTTGATGCCCAGAATGTCAAACTGCCAAACACAGAGACGTGTATTCAGGTCTGAATAGCACCAGGTGTTTTTTCTTTTTTTTTTTTTTTCCTTTTAAAGATATTAACATTTAATAAATGAGTGATGTGACAACTTTCTGAAAGTGACATGCACAAGTAGACAATTTGCTTCAAGTCTCTAACTAATAAGCTAAAAGTTTTAGACAATACTGAACAATTACTAACGTGTTTCATGGTACACAAGAAAACAGTGCTTCCACAGTATATCCTCAGTTCTCAAGTACAAAAATATCAGTTATGGGTAGTCAATAGTTATCAAAATTTTTATTGGTACAGAATGAAAGCAGCATTTACTTTATTGTTTTTTAAACCATACATCATAAAATTCCCTAGTACACATGTGGAGGAGTGAAATAGGCTCTGTACTATTTACCTGCTACTGATCCTAGGTCCAGATTTAAAATCTTTCCTGGTCAAATACAAACAATATCATTAATAGCAAAGGGAAGGCAGTTCCTCAGTGTGAAAGGTCAGCATTTAGAGTCTTACTAAAAGCACTATTTTTTGAAACATCACTTAAATGTATAATTCCACACACTACAAGTGGAAAACAAATTTTTATTAACAAGAACTATTGAGACTGGGCATAAATGTCTTAACCACAAACCCTGGAAATATTATGGGTGCTTTGATGTGGCCCTTTTTGGCGAGAGAATAAGAACAATGAAGTATGGCTTTTCAGTCTTCCTTTAAAAGCATGTTTTATAAAATTTTGTAGGCTTAAATTATTTTAAGGGACCCCTAAAATTTTTCTGTAACGTCATTTACTAATTAGAAGCATTAACTACATTAACTACACCAGTATATTAAGCCATTGGCTGATAGATGATCACCAGCATAACACAGGAACCATTTGCTTTTGCTGTTGCTTTTTAAGTAAGGAAGGTACTTTTCTAGTGAGAGCCATCCTACAATACTATCAAATATTTCAGAGGTTACTACATAGCTTCTCAAATAAAATCCTCACCAGTTTTGTTTTCCAGCAGATATTCAAATCAAGCATATGCAGAGAGCAAGTACAATCAAGTGCAGACAGTTCAAAAGTATCTCTCAGTGTCTTACAGCTACCCTCTGCAAAATAAAAGTCTCTCCTCACCCCAATGAGACGGGGCGAGATGGGGAAACAGGTCTGCCATTCATGTAGGAGTTTGGCTAGCATAAAGTTTTATTAAAGTTGTTAACAAAAATAGTTGAACATTTTTACAATTTAACATCCAGTCTGACAAAAGGCAAATCAATGAAAAAAATACAAAAAAGTAAAAAAGTGCACTACCCAGACCAGTATTTTGCTTAAAGTCATGTCACTTACAGTATATGAAAAATAAACCCAGAAGTGTAATTACTTTAAAATACACCGCTTCCATATTTCAGTATTTTACACATATATTCTATAGTGGAAGAGGAGATCTCTTAAAAACTTTACTCTTAAAATATTGAGGTGCATATGCCAAGTGGGATAGACTTGGCAAGTTAAGTTGCAGTAGAGAATCCTTTCAAATTTGGCATTTCATTTACATACCTTACTGTGCCAGCAAGGTCTGTAGTACCTAAACCTTCTAGTAAGAACAGTAATTTTCTTTAATGTAGATTTACTAATACAGACAACTACAAGAAACGGTGAGGTCAGCAATTCTATGGGATCTTGAGGAGATACGAGTCCTGGTTTAGCTGTCAAATGGTACAATGTCACAACAAACTTTAAGGCCATGTTTTATTTGCTGATTAATGGACAAAAGGCAATGGATTTCCCCCCCCACCAAATATTTTCTTGAAAGTCTGTGCTCATAAAAATCATGAAAAGTTGGAAAGACTTAATTATTGAAACTTTAAATATATTTTACACAATCTTGTTTGTACAAAAATACAAGTTAAATATAAACATAAAGCAATCATGATAATTTTATGTAAATCCATTTTGTGATATTCTGTTATATATAAAAAAGTTTCTCAGCTCTGTCTTATTTGTGAAAAGATCAATACCAGATTGAATCACTACTGGCAAAGGGCCCTAAAAAGCACACTTCAACATTAAATATGTTTTACAATGTAAGTACCATTTCCTGATTTCATCTTTTCTAAAGACTGGCAAAAGATAGGGCAGTATGTCCATAAACCAACAAATAATTTGGCTACAATGTCATAAAACACAAACACACAAATCTGTACAATAAATCCAGTAGCTATGCAGTACGTACTTGTTACACACACACATACACAGACATGGAATGAAACTTAGTGAGACGCCATTTCTAGTTCACTGTTCTTCAGCCTGGCATTTTGTCTTACTTCATCAAACGAATATGACTTCGTTACCTTTCCATTCTTAAATACCGTATGAAGGAGATCCTGCAAGAAATACCGCTGGTTTAGCAAGAGTAATTGGGCAAAAGAACAAACAACATAGGTCATACAGACTCAAAAGCGAGCACTCAAATCAAGTCTGGCAAGACTAGAGCTTTAGACTGTCAAGATACTAAATCCTTACAGCTTCTTCTGACACCTTCACTAATGGTTAGACAGAAGAGAGGATTTAGGCCATCCTATGCACACAGAAGCTTTGTGCCAAGTAGTCCCTAAAATGAGTTGTCCACATCTGGCCAAAGTCAAAAACACACAGGCTAAATATACTCTGCCTGAGCAGCTGGTAAGAAAGGAGACACTCAACCAAGTAAATACGATTCAAGTACAGATGTTTAAAGGAAGTCTTTATTTCTGCCAGAGCAATTATGAAAAAAATAATTAAAAAAAAAATATTTCTGCACAGTCTCCTTTGCACATGTATTTTGTAAAATAGTGTATCAAGAAGTGCTGCAAACAGCACACTCAAAGAGCAACGCAGAAAAGTTAGCACAATAGCAATGCTGAGCAGTCGCTATGCTTGATGACCTCTTGCTTGATGACCTCTTGACCTGTGGCTTTAGGGAAATAGGCCCACATAAAGAGTACGTTTCCCTGTCATTTCCCAGGGAGCCCCAGAACCTGTACCACACCAACAGCCTTATCTAATATGCTTGGACAGAAAACTTCTTAATGAATCTGTCAAAAAAGAAGGAACTACATATTGCCTAATTTCAGAGCCAAGGTCTTGTGATTTGTTTTGAAGGTTTCTCACCATTAGATCCCTCCCTCTCTAAGGTTTCTCACCATTAGATCCCTCCCTCTCTACGTATATACATACATATATATATATATGTTCATCACAAACATATCTAGATGCATATATGTATGTATAACTTTGAAAGTTTTTTTTTCTTAGATCTTGGCATCCAGACCACATCATCAACATGGTATATAACTCAGTTTGAAATTTCTCAGAGAGATCTCAGTTTTATGCTTACTGTTGCATAAAACAGTACGCGTAGTAGTACTCCTCTGCCTAGTATCACAGAAATGTGCTTCTGTATATCAGAAAACTCAAGAAAATTCCAGCTTCTAAAGGCTAAAGTGCAATTTGATAACTTCAGGAAGAGACTCAACATGCAGTTAAACATTTAATTGCTTGCATATTGAAAACGTAAGAGAGAAACTGAAAGTCTGAAATTTGTGCTTATTTACTGAAAAAGTATTATTTCATTTTGCAATTGTAAAGAATTAACAGAGAAACTGAATTCCTAGTTTAAATTTACATCTTTGAAAACTGGGCAACTACTCCATGTATAGAGTATTAACACCTGGAGGAATTATTTAAAAACCTCAATGGGGAAGCAGAAACAAACTCTGGTTGTGTCTGTCCCTCTCCCATCTTCAACTCAGATCACTACTCAAATTTTGCAATATAGCCCATACAAAACTACTTGGCTAGCATATATTCTACAACACTCAGACATTAGTTTTGGGAAAAAGCAGCAATGTTCTCTTGTTTCTGAAGAAAAACAAAAGGGAAAGATCTCTAATTATAAAGCCTGAACATTCTACTGGCATCCTAACATTCCGTTATTTGAATTATTCTGAATTTGGCACGTGGGACACTTCTGAGGAAATAGATAAGAGTTGAACAAAAAGGCAATAAAAAAGTAAATCCTGAAATTAAGTTATAACCTTCTTTTTCCTCAGTCTATTTTTGCATGAACGACGTAATACATTTTGGAAATTCATACCTGTCCATATTCCTCAAGATCTCCCTTGCCTTCTTCCAGTGTCACATAGTCTCCAGCTGGTGTTCTATGCAATGACAGCCTGCCTTTCTTTGACCTTTTGTTTGGATCGGCAACTGGATCCTTGAAGACATTTACCTAAAACGAAAAGAGTATTTTTTTAAAAGGAAAGGGCTTTGTGGGACTTGTGTAACTAATGCAGAAGGTGGTAACGTAACAGGAAACGTCAAACAGGTTTTCAAGTGAGGAGGCCTCTATTGAAAACACAGCGGTAGAAGTAGTGCAAAGACATACCCCGAGACCGTTGGTCACCACGTAACTACATTTGAAGGAGCAGTTTAAGAGATCTCTGGTTAGTTTCTGCAACAAAGCTCCACCAGATCCAAAGGCAATATTCTCAATACTCCATTTATTCTTCTTCATTCCCTCCACGATCTAATAAGAAAAAGAAAATTATGATGGAGTACACTTTTAGGCCATGCCATTTTTCCATAAAAAATATTATACTACTTAAACAAGATGCTTTTACAGACAATTAAACCAACTAACATTCAGTTTCCAGGAGGTTTGTGTAACAATTCTGTCAATACTTGGCACGCTGTTTGCATTTTTTATTTGTGATTCCAGCATGGCATAATTATAGAAAGATTTTCCTGTAAAACTACTATCCTTCCAGCATATACACTTCCCAAACTAGGGTAGCACAGTAATGCAATGCCCAATCAGAGCTCTAAAGAAAATAAAAGACTTCATGGGAGCGTTTCAGAGCCTTCCAATTCCTCAGAAATATGGGAAGACTTCAAAGTATAGCATGTATCCTGAAACAATGCAGTCATCTTGTTCATGAACTCCAGAAAGTTATTATCCACTTTGACCAATGACTTCAACAGAGCAGTTCTCCTGAAAATCACATTGTCTAGAACTAGGTTAGCAATTTAGAAGATGGGAAATAGAAATACATACAGCTGCTCAAAAAGTTTGTTTTGCCACCTTCTCAGGCAGGTACAAATCAATGTGAACTGCACTGCTAACAACAATCAAGTTAAAACTTACTATATCATTACCCTCCACCCTCATTCTACCTAGACAAACATGACATCCTCTATCCTGGAGTACTAGGTGCTAGTTTAGTCATGCTCATAACCGGCCAAGATTTGTTTCCCTGACCTACTACCTCTATGACAGCCTGAAATTATGGTTATAGCCCTGATAAGAGTGTGTGTGTACTATCTCCTAATTATTTTACTAACAAAAGTGGGTAAGATAACTTCAGAGTGGTGAAATAACAAAATCCCATCCATCCAGAAAAGAGGAAGGTGAGAAGCAGAATGGAAGGATATAATCTATGGGGAATAGTGTAGAGTTTAAAAAAATGAACATCATCAGAAATCTAGTAGTCTTTTGTGCAGTCTCAGCCTCCTGCATCAAAAGCAAATGCCAGAGTAACACTGAACAGGATTGTTTCAACAGCTACTGAAGTCAAGCTCCTTTTTTTAAGGGACAGCTAAGGCAAAATTAAAGTTTCATATGAAAAAAAAAAAAAAAAGAGACAATTCCAGTTTCAGATAGTGGCAAACGGGTAGCTAATGTAAACAAAAGAGTATACTAGTATTTTGTTTATCCATTTAGTCACATGCAGACTGTGTCTGCACAGATATTCTCAAAGTCTGAATGCCTGACAGAAGCCAGGAGAGGCAGACTGCAGAGCCATAACCTTTTGAGGGTATGCTCTGAACACCTATCCACTACATTTTTAGCAGAGATATTCCCAGTAGAGATCTCATCAGTGAGTTTCCATCATTCTAATGGCACCAGCTTATTCAGCTTCTTCATTCAAAAAGCCAAGCGAAACAAATCTCAGGCCCTACCACCATGACTTTCACTTAAGGAAACTCTTTGGAAGCTTTGCATCCTGAACAAATACCCCCTCAATACGTGACAATCCTGTGGATTTTAGCAGTAGTCATCGTATCCTTTCAGACAGTGACCATGCACAAAAGGAATCTGTACTTTCAGGTGATCAGGTTCTCCTGGAAGAAGTTAAACGGGGTACCCAGGGAGCATAAAGGATTGAAACGAATGGAATTCTTCCTTAAGCATCTCAGAAGTAACTGAAGACAACAAAGGAAGGGTAAGAAAAGGGATTTTGCAGTCCCTCTCCATAGGCATAAAGCCCAACAGTACCATAAGAAACCAGACTTGACAGGGCCTGGATACAGCAAAAAGGCAAAGGTAGGTAAACTCCACCTGAATGCTGATCAAGTTCTGTCCAGACAATGAACAAGCCTGAAGCCCTGTGAACTGTCAGCCAAGCCTGAGCCAATGTATTCTATTCCTTTCCTTATCCAGCTCTATAGATCAGGTCTGACATGGAACTTGCCTGAACGTGCCTGCAAGATGTAGCACAAGCTACTCGGCATAAACGACATCCTACCAAGGCACATGATGCTCAGACTTCATGTTCACTGACACGTGTAGGTTAACAGATGCTAGTACAAGTATAGCGTAGCGGGGCCATGGCTGCTTAACCTCCTTGCCTGGGTGACAAGAAATGTGAACCTCCTTCCAGCTAGCATTCCTCCTCTCATTTACAGAGGGTTTGTTCATCTTGTGCCACAGGCACAACTCTTCACTTACCTTGGGTGAAGAACTGTTTTCCACTTTTCTATTCTCTCCCAAAGGATTTCTAGCTCTGACTCTACCACTGACCGGCAGCAGAGGCCCAGATAACAGCGTCCTTTGTTATGGGGAAGAGAAGGCAAACAGCAGCAGTAATAGGGAAGAAGAAAAGGGGGAGATCTGAAACTACTGAAGCCTCCTCCAAAGGAAAACAATACAGAAGAATTTCTTATCTCACACTTTCAAACCTATACAGGGAGAACAGTTCAGGTGTCAAGGTTTTAACCAGCTTCCTCTGGCCATTATGAGCATGATTAATATATCAACTGTGACTCCAGATTAGAGGATTTTCTCTGTATAATAATTTATTTAAAGACATCTGGAAATTGAATGTTCAAAGAAAATCCTTTGAAAGTGTAGTATATTGTGGAGTTAGCAGATTGGAATGATTTCAAAAAGTGAAAATGCTAGAAGAAAGTCAGAAAAGGTTCCTTACCTGTTCTACCAGCATCCCCTATTAAAACAAAGAATTTTAAAATCCAGTTTATACTCTGAGTTGTTTTTTATATTGTTGTTTCAGCTAGTTTGGATAGTTAAGTGAGATCAATTAGTCATTACTCATTCTAGATTTTCCTATTGTACCCATTACCTTTCATCTGATCCATAACAGTAGATCATACTGAGAATCTAAGACTGATATGGAGTAATTGGAATAATCACCTGCATAGGCTTTAAGGGGGAGAGAAAGATGGCCACAGTAATATATTCATATTTTTTCATATAAAAAGCTTTTCAAAAAGGAGGAATTATACTTCAGGGCTGGTCTGTTTTTGTGGTGGGGTTTTTTGTTTGGTTGTTTTTTTTGTGTGTGAGTTTTGTTTGGTTGTTTTTAAATGGCAAGCTATTACTCAGTCTTCCAAAAGTCAGCGTGGTAACCTTGGTTTTGCTAACATAAGAGGATCAAGAGATCCATGAAATTTAAACATGAGTCAAATTAGGCTGCAAGATCATGGTCTTTTTGCTCCAACATAACTTGCTGCTGTCAAATGAGAAGCGTTTCTTTTCTTCCTTCCTTCCTTCCTGCTTCTCCCAGCCCAAAACAACAGTTTATTTTCTCTCCTGTGTTGTGCTTGTGAGTACTGGGGCCAATGCAATTCACTAAACCAGAAAATTGATCACTTTTGGTCGAATTAGTTTGCTGCTATATATGTGGGCTAAATTAGCTTAATGACCAGTGGTTCAATGACCAAAGCTGACATGAAGTGAGCAGCAAGATTACAGAGCCAGGAAAAGATGAGGAGGCAGCCACTAGGCAGCAGTGAGCTCTGCCTGCTCTGTACGTCTTGTGGAACCGGATCTTCAGCTCCCTTCTACTAAGTATTGCAGGTAGACTTTTTCTCAGAGTCAGTTACAGTTTGATGAGGATGATATGTAAACAGGTAGATGATCTGAACAAAGAATTGCTCCTTCTGCCTCTTATCCTCTCCCATTAGCTGCTGGAATTATTTTCCTGCTCTATTTAGATCTTGAAGAGCAATGCATTTTTCTCCTCTAATGTAAATACGTTAAATATTAGTTTAAATATTTTGAGCACAATCAATGCTGCATAAGCATCCTTGAATTTTGTCCAGTATAACTTACGGAAAGCAACCTTTGAGTTCCTTACAAGAAAGAATTAATAGTCTAATATCTTTCCTATCATGACTCATGAAACCTCAACAACATACTTTGCCTAACACAGTTGTTGAGAACAAGCAGAAGTTTATTTAAAAACAACAACAACAAAAGAGTCTCTTCCCCTAGTATCTAATGAAAATACTTTCTTTCCAGCTATTAACCTCTCATGCTTGTGTTCTGTTAAGCACATTAGCATAATTGTCTATTCTCAAAAAGCCACGTGGGACAAAAAATAAAAGTTGCTTTAAAGGCCACTGGAAGAGGAACGAAACTGTAGTGCATGACTACACTAGAGTTGGCATATCAGGTAATAATCTCAATATTAACTGCTCTCTAAGGATCTGAGTGACAAATTTAAGTTTTGTGGTTGAGGTTCACATTATGTGTCGAATATGTAGTTAGTTTCAGACTCTAAAACAAGCTTTGATGTCTCTCTTACTCTTAATTTTGAGAAGCATCAAAAGTCAATTTTGCTAAGAAGAATCTAAGGATGTGTCAATCTAGAAAGCTAAGACAAGTGTCAATAAAATCAAGTAAAATTAACCTTAAATTTATCCAACTTATTTCTGGTTTTGAACTCTAATACAGCTGAAGATGCATGATCCAGTACAAATCTGATAAAGTCAAATCCTCCGCCTTGCACATGCCCCTCATCATCTGCAGTTACTGCAGCCTGTATCTTTGCAACCACATTATATTACCTAGTATCTCCATCTAGTCAATAATGGTGAAATTTAGAACTAGTTTCAGGCATGCAGCATCTACTAAATAACCAATTTTTGTCTTGATGAAATTATACTTTTGACTCACACTATAGCCTAATCTGTTATACGTATTTTCTGGGCTTTCAACAATCCTTATTCCATTAGTTCCCAAATCAACGAACTCATCTCCCTTGCCCTTGTCGTACAAAATCTCCTTCAAAACTACACCTTCAATATTCCAAGCACAGTACAGATGGTATATAACTAATGAGACAAACCAGTTAATTACTACTATTGCTATGGCACAATGATCATGCAGTGTGCCTTAGATATCAGTGAAAGGACCAAACACTGTCAAGACTTCGAACTAAATTAGGCTTGACAAGCAGGATGAAAGCAAACAAAAGGAGAGACAGTGGGAGGAGAAGGGTTACAACAGGAGGATTCTGAAATGCCTTTTATTTTTTTTAGTGTGACTTAATAATTCCCTGTGGAGTTTTAATGAATTTGTTTTATGCATTAGGATATCGCTGCCAGTGTCTGGAATGAAGGGCAGGGCCGGGTCAGCAGTCTCTGCTCTAACATCTGACTAGTCATAACAGAGTCCAGATTAAATATCAACATTGCCAGTGTCACCCTGACACATGAACAGGATCTCCTACCTCTTGCAATGTGTTGATATCCACACCATCCCCTTGAATAACTCTGAGATAAGGTGGCAGCAACTTGTAGCCTTTTGAGTTCTCTGTAATGGGAAACTTCTTCCCTAAGATCTCCAAGACCTATTGAAAAGAGAAGGGAGACAGTTCAAAATAAAAATAAAAACCTGCCATTCCAATAAAGAAACACAATTGCCACATTTGATTCATGCTCTCAAAAAAAAAAAACTCCATAAATATACCAACATATCTTCCTCTAAATCTATCCACATAGGCATACAAACAAAAAGCATGCCAGCCATCGTCGTAGAGCCATTAGGTTAAAGCAGTCACAAACCATATGGCCTTTATGAACTTGTACCCGAGAGCTAATCAGAACCATGCTTCCCTCCTTTCTCTCTTTGGTTGCTGTGAGTTTTTGCTATTAAATGTGTCAATTAAAGATTCTGCTTTTCTTTTGACCTCCCTTAAGATGGTGGATGAGGCTTTCAGTTTTCTGCGATTTTATTAGCCACCAATAATTAAAATAAAACACTTCAGTTAGGAGTTTTTCTTATCAGCTCTAACAAAGATTATTCAAAGTTCCTATTTGTGATACGCCCCTTGTCCCACAGGAAAAAAAACGTGTTAAAGCTGTATGGATCTAATTTGATAGAGTACCAACATAAGTAAAATCTCCTGTTTCCTTATTAAAACAGTGCTGACAGCTACTAAAATTCAGAGATATCAACAGCTTGTATTACAGAACTGCAACAATCACTGTGCTCTCTAAGGAGCTACAAGGCAAGAAGCATTTTTCAACTTGGAGGTCCTGTGCCACTGACTTCAATGCACACCTTAAAGGGAGAAGAGCGCTAAACTTGTAGCGTAAAACAGTGAATTACACTAATACAGGATGTGACGATACCTAAACTTGGTGGTAAAAAGTCTTATTGGCCTCATTAATGCTCAAGTTGTTTCCTGTTTTATTTGTTATTAAGTGATGAAAGACCTCTCTTAATAGAATCATTCCAGCATCATTAGACCAGCAAAACTGGTAACTGTTGTAGAAGCTTCAAGAATGGTATGCAAGAATGGGTTTGATGAAAAAGATTAAACTATTCAGACTGCAAAAGAGTTTCCATATCTATATTGAGATGCAGTACATTTTTACATTTTTCATAGGTCCCAATCATCCAGCATCAACTATATCCTATGCACACCAAGTTGAGAGTACTACATTTCCTATGTTTGTTAGCCGGTTATTACTAAACAAACAATTGCCCTTCCCAATCTTGTATACAAATGACTTCAAGAAAGAATTACCTTCAAAACAGTGTCAAGGGGATTCCCAGAATCCGGTCTAATAATAAGTGGTGCCTCTGGACTTCGGGCTTCAATTATATGCCTTAAGTCATCACCCCATATTTTTTCACAAGCATTGTAAATGTCGTAGCTGTCACTAACAACAGATACAGGCACTGAAGAAAACTGTGTCACTATGTGTTCAAAAGCATCTTTTTCATGATCTTTCCCCCAGGCTGTTATGGTACTGTGAAGTTAATTAAAAAATCCACATTAGAGCAGCAATTATGTCAAATCACACATTCTGTATTTCTAACATTTCCCGTAACAGTTCAAAATAACAGTAGACAATATGACTACAAGACAGTATAAACGATGTGCTTATCAGCTGTGTGTTGCATGGATAGTAAACATACTATATGTTAAATAAACAGCACCCTAGATTCACCTTTGGCAACCCAGACAAACACTTGACAGGTGAAACTTCTTTCATATGTAAATGTGATTTTATTTATTTAACATTTGTGAGCAAGTTTCTTTTAAATCTGAAATTCAGACAGTTAGGGAACTACAGATGCAAGGACTGCAGATGCATCTGCTCTGGCAACTTCAGATGCATCTGCTCTGGCAACTTCAGACTACAAAATAGGAAGTAGAGAACTAGAAGTATATGTTAGAAAAATCTTAGAAGTAAACACAATTTATTTTCTTTTTTAATAGTGATTTAACACCATTATGCTCACTCATGCAAACATTCTTCTAGAGGAACCTCAGGGCATTACCCTTGGTACAAGGGTACAGGCAAGCACATAAAGCAGAGTTGCTAAGAGAGGTAATAAGTTATTGAATGCAGCTGATCTGCAGTAGCTGTTCTGTACGTGGCTGTCACGGACCAGCTGACATAACTGACTTTAGTAACTTGTGTGTGAACACTGAAGAACATTCTCGTGCAAAGCATAGGTGTGCAGTTAAGAGCTAGTGGGCACTGAATTTTTGCCACAAAATGCTAGCATTAATTCTGTGTGAACAAGTTCCGACTCACAGCAGTGAAGAGACAAAACAATATTTGTTTCAAAGAGGTTGGGACTGCCAGAGGAACGATGCTGGTGGCGTGCCAGTGGCAAGCACCACACTCACAAAACAACCTCAGGTTGGAAGTTGTGGAACAGGAGAACAATTCTGGAAAAATTTGTGTCTCTTGCACAAGACCGTTTGCGTATCAGCTTGGAAAAGGTGACTGCAGTCTGTGTTTGGCAATGCAAACTTTAACTAGGGCCCGTGAAGCTGTCTGCTCTCATACCACCACTTCGATATGCTGTGCAAAGGACATCAGTTCTCTGATTCTCTGTGTTTGCTTTCGTTACAAACAATTTTATAGTTGCTTCGGCCATCAATTTTGGATTTAACTGTAGTATTAAGCCAAGCTAAGAGAATATGTTTCAGACAAAATTTGTCACATCTACAGATCAAGCAGGCGTTCTACAGCAATGGTCCAGAAAGTTATATGAAGCAGTGTTCCTTTAAAGATGCTCACTACTCTACGCGGGCTATTCATGTAAGCCTTTCCATTATCTGTCTTGCAATCCTAAGTGAAAATATTCACTATTTAAAAGCACTAGATTTTGTACTCGATAAGAAAAAAATGACCACCCCTTCCTTTATATTCTGCTCACTCAGTATGCAGACATGCAAGTGAAACTTTGATATAAAAAATGACAGCTCTTCATCTCAAATGTCTGTTTGAGATCAGTTCCTTACTCTCAAAAACTCATCCATCATCCACAATTTGTACTGAGAGATCAAAGATTTACCATTGGCTATTGCCAATTACTTATGCTGATGGGAAGCTTTAGAGCAACTGCCTCTTCTAGAGGGAGAACATGATCTGGGAGAGTCCAGAATTACAACTTACATGGTTTTTTGTTTTATGCTTTTATGTTTAAAACAAAATTTAAAGTTCATAATATGAATCCTTAATACCTACTTTAACCTGTAAGCCTTCAAGTCTATTCTAAAAATAATCACGATTTACTTAGATGCTGAAAAGAAAGTTATAGTTAAAAACATTTAAAACACATCTACAGTTAAGAACAACCATGCCACTGTTGTGCCCCTAGAACATACAGAGGCATCAGTATTGAACTTCAGCATCAACAGATAGATCAGACAAGGCTAATATTGTATGATACAAGTGAGACAGCTTAATATTCTTGGATACAAAGATGGATGAGAAAAAATTACATTTTGTTAAACTATTTTTCAAAAGGTTTTAATAGCCCAATACCTTACCTATGTTCAGCAGCTGGAACAGAATATCCTGGAACCGGATCTTTTGTACCATAGTACTTTTTAATTAATGCAATTCCTGCTACAGTGTCTGTTCCTTTGAAGTTCACCAAATGAGCTGAAGCTCCTATTCCTGCAGTCTGAAAAAGATGCAGCTTTCAGTTGCCACACCAAATACAGAAGCCTAATTCCAGTCACTGCCTAGCAATAGTTTGTAACAGCAAAACTCTGACTCGGTTTCTGCTTCACCAATACACTCTTCATGCACTTACACATAAAAGACAGCTTCCATATAGAAAAAAGCCCTTCCTGTCTAGTGTCTCATTCAGACACATACCCACCCACCACTCCAGATCTGCCTCCCTCCACAGTAAGTCCAAACAGAGTACTCTATGCGTTCACAATTTCACAGCTGAACAGGAACACAATTGTTAACAGATACATGCTACAATCCTTTGTAGTTAACAACAGTTAGACTTCTCAAATTATTAGATAAGTATTATCACCTCTTGTGAAGAAACTCCTCTGTAGCCGAAGTCATGCAGTTTATATTCCAGTCCTTCTAAGCTGCCAGAAGTCTCTAGCAAATATTTGGCCAAAATCTTTTTCTGCTCTCTAGAGTTTGTAGCCACTGTGATTGGATACCACGACTGAACAAGAATAGTCTAAAACAAAACCGATCACATTATTAGGTGTATGTTTGCTTAGGACTTAAAAATCCCCACTCAGCATTTAATCAGGCACAAAAAGGCCTATCTGTTTTCATCGGCCATTCAGAAAGTACTGATGCCTCCAACAGTTTGCTTTAGGGCTAAAGTAATTAGCCGTTACAATACCTTTATAAGATAGGCCAGGTATTGACCATCTCAGGAATGACCACTCCCAAGCTACAGACACACAACTCCCACCATCCTCCTTTGCTTGTGGATAAAAGTACCGTTGTGAATTTCCTGTAAAATTATTACGATCTCTTGCCAGGTAGGGGAAAAAGGTCCCTCTAAGAGCATTAAAAGAAGGATCCTTACTTAAGGCAGAAAGTAAAAGCTGCCAGAGATTCCTCGATACCAATAAGAGATTCAGCCTTTAATTTAAGTGCATTAATATCTACTTAGAAAAACACATGTTAACTTTCCAAAACTGACCTCAATCCAATTTGTGAGCCAGTAGCACTCTGGATCTGTGTTTTCTACTGTGAAAAGAACATTTCCTCTGGGAATGACAGAGCCCTCAGGAACAGCCTTTATTTCTATAGGAAGATGGCCATCGTATTTCTATATAAGAAACAGTAATATTTTCAGACAACAGGAAAGATTAAGACCTACTTCTCTTATTCGACTGCAATGCATAAAAGTCAGGTTGTGAGTTTACTGATAAAGCTTTCTTCTTTATCTCTTTCTTTCAACTTTAAAAATAATTTGGTTTGTTTGCACACCCATCAACCCAAATAAATAAAAAAAATCCAAGTTTATCAAAAAAAGGAAGAAAAACAGACTATTTTTTAGGTTACAGGATTATCACACCAAATTATGGTTATCCATTATATTACTTGCGCAAATTGAGTCAGGAAAGCCTAAATATTCTATAAAAATACTTAAGTTCTGTCCACAAAACACAAAGTATTTGCTACTCAGCTTTCTTCAGTGCTTTCACATGAAGTAAACTAAAAAAAGTTTAGCTATTATCTAGGCCTTCATAAAAAAAGTCTAGTTTTGCTTAGTATAGATGTGTGCTTTGTTAACTTAGAGTAGGATCCATTTAACATCTATTTTAAAGAATATTTTATCATTTATCATTTTATCATCTCAATTATTCACTAAACATGAAAACTAATCTTGAAGTGTCATCCTTTTGTCAAATTCAGTCTTTCATCCGTGAAGAACTAAATATTGTGTGAAACATGGCTTTTGAAAAAGGGTAAGTTGCAAACAGTAACTCTAAAAGAGTAATTAACAACTTTCTGAAAGAGGCTTGCAAGATAAACTGGCAATACTTAAAATGTTCTGTATAGTAATATTTTTTGACAGAAAGCTTCTCATGAGATACTCTTTAAAGGTAACAAAAATTGCATCACTTCAGAGAAACTACACGAATTCACAAGTAGCATGAAAACATATTCTCCAGTGCCCAATACACATCAGAAGTCTCTTCTACACCACAGTTTAAAAGTTTCTTCCAAAGTGTAATATGTTGCAGCAAATTGTTTTTATATACCACACAGGGTTTAGCTGTCAGACTTCTCAAAAATTTTAGGTACAATCAACTTGTACAATTGAGGGCTTACATCTCTATCACATCATCAAATTCCTGCCAACGTCCAGCCTTTACACCACCCTCTCATTTTTCAGGCAGTCCATTCCTTGCTTCCACCTGTTCACCCTATCAGCATCTACTCATTCATTTACTCTCTGTTCCAACTCGTGCGTGTACATTTCAAATTCATTTTGGCACTTCACTCATACACCCATTGCTCCCTCCACTTTACCTAACACTACCCATTAGGTAAGAGAGCCAGAGAGCATATAGTGGTGGGTATGTAAACATAGACAAGAACTCAGTGAACAGAAGCAGGCTCTCTGTGTGCATTTAAGGGCATACAAAGACCCAAAGGGTACACACACTTCCAGTTTTAGAGCCATCAGCATCTAAGATGAAGAAGTGGAAATCGTATCTGTTTATATATATATATGCACGATTTTAACAAGAAAATCTGACAAAGGAATAAACAATGCATACAGGGCATATGCAGGAAGGCTTCTTTTGACTAAACTAGAAGCATGCATTGAAATGGAATTAGTTAAACCATGTTACAACTCAGTGTTCACAGACATGCAGCATTAAAAGTGTATTAATTCAGTTTAGCCAAAGAGGGATCAAGACTACTTTGAATACAGATGAGAGCAGTTCACAATGTATAATGTAGCTTAAACACAAATGGAGATTGAATTCACATCTGTAGGTATTTCAAATGGATGCAAGTCCTCTACAAACCTCTCCCTAACTCCCTCTTAGAAAACAGTAATTTTATTTACTTTGCTGCCATTTGCAACATTTAGTTCAAACTCACTTTTCTCTCGCACACCTTATGGTCCACCCTGGTTGCAAGATGAACATCCAGATACGTTCACAGACAGATGCCACCATAAAATACATACAGTCAGGGTATCCAGGGAAAAATAAATGTGAAGAACTAAAAATTGTGTTTTCAAATGCCAAAAATATCAATTCACTAGAACCCACAATGAAACTTGGCATTTAACTAATTTGCAGAGAACAGCTCTGATGAATGCTGTTAGTCTGAATCTGCTGCTTTTACAGAGAAGAGATGTTTGCAATTACTTGAAGATTGACACCGTTTTAAACAAAAGCAAAAGAGGATAATTGTGGAAAGACTTAATTCGGAGGGATTTGTGTGTCAGAAGTACTGAAGCCTTGTATTTCATACTAAAGTTCGACTGAAGTATCTGAAAAATTTAGGACACAACTGAACAAAACATGTATTTTCTGGAACCATGTACACATGCAAGAAGTTGTAATGCTTTCTGCATTAGAAGAAAAATAGTTATGATTAGTTACAGAAAGCAATGTAAATGTTGCAAGCACCCACTAAGCACTGTATTTTATATGGAGACTTGCCAACAAGCCCCACTTATACTAGCTGCCTGACGGCAGCCATAAATCCTTATTACCTGAAAAGCCATATTTGGCATCTGAAAGGATGAAAATTACTTTTCTCTAAGGAATTACAATTATACGATTATTCTTTGACAGCTGCTACTCCCTGTACGCTAAACATAAAAAGCTAAATTTATCCAGTCTTTACTATCATGGTTGAAAGGAGAGATTGCTGTATTTATTCTACAGTTGATTCATAAATCCTTCATGATGATCTCATACTATTTTCATAAATTCTTACCTCCAGAATATAGTTCCATCCCTTTTCATTGAAGACATCATCCTGAAAATGCTCCCTATATACTTCTTTGGCTTCCTTGATTTTTTCTTTGGTCACCACTTTGCCTGTGTTTTCAGAAACAGATGGAAGTTTAGAAACTTATGATATTCATCAATTTAGAAAAGTAATGACAAAAAGGTTCGGACACAGAAAAGTAACTTTGCCTCCAACAAAGACATGGAGAACATGTCAAATGCACTATTCTAGCTATGTTAAAACCAAATTTTACTTTCATTTATTACATAAATTAGGGTGCTCAAGAAACCAACAGGATAAAATAAACTTGTAGTTTGCAGATGACTCAGGAACAATTTGAGATTATTACTCTTTTATGACCATCAATAACCGGTCAAGGGTTTTAGTAGCAGTACTTTTCCCAGAGGAACGTAATGATTGTGCAAGTTGGCACATGGAACAAGACATAACCAGACTAGCATAAGGGTTAAGCTACGCTGCTCCAGGGAGAATACCTGTGGAGAGGCCTTACAATTAGTCTTTGATTAAGCACTTGTGTGATACAAACTGACAAACTAACCACATTATTTGGATAAGCATTGCTACTGCTTTAGGACCAATCATCTACTGGTAATGTTAGAGAACAATACTCGGATTGCTAAAGAGAAAAGAAACAAGATTATCAAATGTTTTGATTACAGTGGAATTCCAATCTTTGGTGGAATTGGCAGAGATATTTATGGATTCTGGATCAAGACAAACATACGTAAGCCATGTGACTAAAGTCTTCTTTCTAAAGTTTGGCAGAAGGCATCTTGCATTCAGGTCAGAACAGGTGATATTTGCACATAATGCAAAAAAGCAAACAAAACCTTACACGGCACCAAGGAATTTTCAGATGTAACTCTTAAAATTGTCAATACTGAAAACGCATTCACGCATAGCTGTCATATTCAGTGATCTAAGCTGACTGGCAACTGAAATTTAAGGTAAATTAAAACCATGATTAGTTTATGCAGTAAATGTACCAGCAAACACAGACTGAAGTTTACGTTCAAAACGCGAAATGTATTTTCCCTCGAATCTTCCATCTTCTTGTGATTCTGTGCACAGTCTTGCTCTGTATCTATTCATTTCAATTTCGCCCACAGAGGTTGGGATATGAACACCTCTTCGTTTTTAATAAACTATTGGCATAAATAAACCTAGTAGAGAGGTGTCTGAATTAAGAAGTCAATACCATTTTGCAAGGGTGGACATCTCATTTTCAGAGTCACATAAATAAGATCTTACGCATGTCACTACCTACACTGTACCAAAATAACCTGGAATTGTTTCAACTATAAGACTACAGGCTTGAGAAAAATTAAGATATTTATTTACAGGTGAAGTTTTACTGGAATTTGAGACAGTTACCTTTTAAGTATTTATTCAGAATGTACTGCAAACCATAAAAAACAGTTTCTTCATATTTTACTTTCCTCAATTTGGAATTTTCAGTCTTCTTTTCACGACATTCAAAGTAGGAATATACTTTGCTTGTATTAGGTGGATATTGCTTGTAGTGTGTAACCTACAATAAGAAAAACTTCAGTAAGATCTCAGAACATCACTACAAATCACAAGAGAAATCGTATTTGTACATTAAAGCTTAGAGTAACTCCCAACTCTTCTTTACTATCAGTATTTATCCATTCATGTTCTACACAGTAAGTATTTAGGGGATCTCCCCTTTTTTAGCTGCCTTCAATTTTCAGTTCAAAAGACTATCTTCCCTATCTTATTCTTTGCTCCTCTGTCAAGCCTTTCCCCCTAGAGTAATCTTCATCATCAGCTTTTCCACGCCCCTGATGACTTTCCTTTGATTAAGTGGCAAAGACATTGGCTAGGATTTTAGGAGCACAACTGAGCACCAACGTGTAGGGTCAGTTTTCACTCTCCCACACTTCAGCCAAGCCTAATAGCTACAAGAAGCACAGTCACCTGCCACTACCAAAGTGGAGGTACTCACTGCATTTGATTGAAATTTTGAAGGCTATAATCACGTAGCTCAAATAAAAGCCATCCAGACCCAAGAAGGCACTGACAATGGCCTTTACCCAAGTGTCCCATTCACCATAAGCAGAGTGGGTTTCCCAAGCCCAGGTTATGTCAAAGCCAGCTTACAAACCTGTTACTGTTAGTAATGCTGCTAAAATCTACCTGAGGTTTGTACCTCCCCAACAAAGTTTGCTAGATGGACTTTTTTCCAATAAAGGAAGCATGAAAAGTTGCAGTTTGAACCTGTGTAGTACACAGAAATGAGTCATATGAACATATAATGTTATGTTGGATTCAACCATAGCAGCTTTTTTCAGCAACCGATAGCAAATCTACCCAGAAATTTACTTTGAGTAACATATCATTTGAAACAACTGCACTGTAAACATTTACAACTTAAACCTGCAAAATTGTTCTCTCCTAATGTGTAAAAAGCAAACTCCACACAAAATCTGTAATTCCATATTAAACAAAAAAGAATACACAATGACATAAATTTCATACCATCAATGTTTAAATTATGGCATACATAAATCCACTTAAGACATTCCCAAAGGTGAAGCTATCAAAAGTTTTCTTAAATTATGATGAAAAGTCTGTGAACAAGTTTATACATTCCATAAGGGAAAACTGTTCCTACAACAGAACAAAAAACTCAAAAAGGTGTGAAAGTCGTGTCTGAATTTCTCAAACCCCAAAATTTATCGGTTAGAGCATGAGTTTGTCATAAGTTTCTTGCTGCTACTTCTTACTCCAAATCACCTTAACATTTTTTGTTTCTAATATCGCAAGGAATTGGAAAAAGGCTAGTTTTACTACTTCTTCCTTCTTGTCCTGGTTTTTTAAATGTACCTCCGACACTTTCAAAACAAAATATTTGAAGGTTTCCCTTACCTGTATTGCCAAAACTGTATATTAAAGGATTTTAAAAATACAGTTTTATTTTTCCTTTCAAATGTCATTTATATATAGTATTTCACTCATCTTCACAACGAACTAGACTGCTCAACTGAATTTTTCACTTATATACCAACACAATGCCCTTGTGGTTGTATTTCCAATGCTGCAAGGAAACATTCAAATAATGAAAAGGTCAATTTCCAGATATTCCATTATCTTTACTTCCATGAAGTTTTCAAGGCCAATCAAATAAAACCCAAGCTTGTCACTGCATGATTTCTGCTTTTACTTCAAACAAAGCACTGCAACGCAGACATTTAATGGAGCACAAATCTTTTCTGTTCCAATTCTACAGCCACTCAAAAGCACAATGCTTAAGAGTAGGTTAAGACCCAAAGACAAAACATGGCTTTTAGATTTAGTTCTAGCTATTAAGAAGTGCATCACTCCAAAAATTATAACATGTCATTTTCTAGCTCCACACAGAACTTTCAAAAAAGTAAATCACACTGTCAGCTCACAGAAAAGTCTCTTCAGGATATCATCATGTTTCAAGGAAAAAAAACCCAAGCAAACCAAACCAAACTAAACCAAACACCCTCCCCCCTACTGTGGAGCAGTCAAAAACATGCTCTGTTTGACATGTCTTTTAACTAACAGGAATATGAACACACACAACTCCCTTACAAAAAATTGTATTAAACAGACTCCAAGAAAAAGAACATGTAACAAATTCATTAGAAGGATCATTTACTTCAAGGCACAGAGAGCAGAAACTCCTTGCTTCCCTTGTTGCCACTTAAGTTACAGCAACTGTACGAAAAATTTTGCTCTTTTTTATGACTCAGACTGGACTTTTAAGTTGGTGCTTCTTTATGGTTTGATTAAATCACCTAGGAACTTTGTTTAATTATCTCTATTCTTCATCCTATTGGCATGCTATGGTTTCATGATTTCAGAGTAAACACCCAACACTGAGCCCACCAGCTTAAGATGTACAGAGCAGACATCCCAGGACCCCCAAACCAGCATCTGAATTCCATGTGACAAACTCTAGAGCAAAACAATGCAATGCTGCTGTTCTATCCACAACAGTTCAAGCAAAACAAAGAAAACTCACATCCACCTGAGACTGCCTTCTCAGGTTTCTTTAAAAAGTCTAATTATCCAATTTGCAAACTACAGGCAGGTTGCTGAAGTCAACACCTATATTATAATGGAAGTTTATGTGACCTTTGGACACCATCTTTAAGAAGATATTTTGGTTCTGCAGTTCAAAGACATCTCCTCCAGCTAAATGCTTCTCTCTATCAAACGGGTTACAGGCCCAAAAATTAGCTTAATGTATACAGTGCACACACCGAGTTGGTGCCACCTCTTCCTATCACGTTGAAATACAGGGTTTTTTAGGGACTTCCCATTCTAGCTCTGCTTTGAAGCATGATCACAAAACACAGCTCTCTGGCTGCAAATCAGAACTTGAGGGCTGAAATCAGGCTGGAATGCGAACAACCTGATTTATCCTTTAGGTAGCATACCTGGGGAAGCAGCTCCACCAGACTACCTGGCTGGCAGTTTCAACTTAAAAAAAACCCCACTCAAGTTCCTCAAACATTAAATGACAGGTTTAGCTAATTTTTCTGATATTAGATTAGATCTTAGCCTGAAAATATATATTGGCTAGTGTCCCAAAAATAGTTACTTCTAGATATACAAACCTAAACGAAAATTTTGTATATGATAGAAATGTCAATTTATCAATTAAATTTCTTCAAGTACTTGAAAGAGATAATGAGCTAATTTTACATCAGTTCTATGTAAATCTGTTCTATCAGATTCAATTATATTCTTCACACATTGGAATCTATTTAAACAGTGAAAAATACACATCTCTGGCAATTAAGATGTTTACATCCAAGCAATATTTACATCTGTAATTTTAAATAACTTGTGCTTCCTTTGACATTCCACAATGCTATTAGTTTTACCTATAAAGCTGAAAGACCCTTTGGCTGTCTGCAAGGCTTCTCACAGACTACTACTCAGTGTTCAAAGATACAATCACAATCCTAAAGCACCATACTTTCCAACCGATACTTACTCCAGGCATGCTGTACTTAACTTCTCATGTACCTATCTCTACAAGACCTATGTCCCCTTGTTCACTTATCTGGCCATCTGTTTTGCTTCCAAGCTCTTAGGCAGGGCACCATACCCAGCAGGAGCATCTGCCCATAAAACATCACGGCAGCTCTGACCATTAGCTGGACTACTAGGACACAGAGAAATAATACCCATCCACCACAGTGATGGTCAGGAGGTTTGGTATGTAATGAAATGCCTGGTAGTAAAACAAAGTCTGAAATAAGATCAAGCTGCAGGGAGCAGGAACAGTTCACAGAAGACCCAAAGAATGCCATTTAAAAACAAACCAATCAATCAATCAAAAAACCAAAAAAAAACCCAAGAAACTTGGACAACAAAAATTAATGCCTCAAAAAAAGACTGAACTTTCCTTACTGTCAGATGAAGTTTTGCATCTTTCTGTACTCTAAAGAAGAGTCGAAAGAACAATCAGTGACAGCGCACAATATTTGAAATGTATTTTATGTGACTTACAGGTCGCAATAGTATTGCTAAATCGATGCTTTCAGTTAGGGGACGACAGAAGCAGGACTTGTACAGACGTGTCCTTCATAAGCGGGAGTAACTGTAAAGCCAATAGCAAAGCCCTTCTCTACCGAAAAAAAAAAAATCAGCCAAAACCCAAACAAAAGACCCTATTGGGATTAAGAGACCCTTACAAGAAAACAAACCCCAAAATATATTCAAAGGCCTTTTGATATTTAGCTCAAAGGCTGTGGTTTAGGTTTTGACTACAAAAAGTATGGCAAACAGCCTTAGAACAACCACCTACAACAAGGTTATGTACTATGACTGAAACAGAGCACTTTAATTCCAGTTGCGATAGCTCCTTCTTAAATTTAATCCAAAAAAAGGTATATTCTGAACAAAGAATACCTCCATAAGGACTACACCTGCTTCACTAAATCAAGTCAGCCATTTGAGAAAAAAAAAGAAGCACAAATCGCATCTAGATCAGACATCCAAAAAACTATTCCATACATTAAATTTTAAGAAAAAGGAATTAACAGCTACGCATCACAAAACAGGTAAAGGCTGTGTTTTTATAGGCTAGATAAGAAAATCTTTGGCATAAAAGCCAAATCATCTCATAATCTACAAGCTTTGTTGCACAAGAGATTGCAATGAAATGACTTTAAATAGTTATTTAAGTCAACCATTTGAAAACGTGAGAAAAACAGGTCTGACACGAGAAGTCAGGCGTGGCCACATTCTCCATTGGTGGTTTATTCCTTGTGCTCAGCTAGGTCAGATGGGTGCTAATATGAGCCACCAGAAAGATACTTCTAAGCGCTGCCTACAGTGAAGAAAACAAACCCCCAAACACCTGGCCAGCAGGATCTTGCCTGTCCTGTAACTCTACAAGTGGCAAGATGATACCAGTTCAACAGAGATTGTATTTGAACTTTCTGGAGTTTTTTTAAAAAATCTTTAGTGCAAAATGGATACAGAACAACCCAGCTACTGAACCCCTGGCACTGTACAGCC